GCTGTGTGTGAGAGAGAGTCGTGGGGGGGGGGGGGCGAGGAGGGAGAGAGAGCGAGAACGGCCCATCCTGGCCCCTTCTTTCTGGTGAGCTTTACAAGTGATCCATTCAGAAGAGGTGTTTACCCAGCGGCTTTCTTCGTGACAGTTGTCTCACCTCTCTCCTGCACTCCCAAGCAGGTGGCACGACCGGTTGCTCTGTCCTAGCAGACTGGGGGGTGGGGGGGAGTCATGGGAGTGTGACCAGGACATGCATGGATAGGACAGGACTCCCAAGGACAAGCCAAGAGCAGAACTAGAGGTTGCATTTTCCTTCCCGTTTGGAGGGTGGCTCCAAATTTCTAGGCATCCCCCAGGGAAGCCCCATCGGACAGAATGTCCGACAGGCAGAGCCGTGTCCCAGTCTTGGCTGCCCTTAGGCCCATGGGCATCTCTTGGCTTGGGCCACCTGAGGAGAAAAGGTGGTGGCCACAAGGGCTTGGAAGAAAACAACTGAGGCACCCCCGGTATCCAGTCCTTGCCTCGCTGTTCGCCTTGTTGCGCTGTGGATTGCACACTGAGCGTGCCTTCTGGAGGAGTAAGAGGAGGAAAAGACAGGCTCCCACAGCCCCAGGGATCCTGCAATCGGCATTTCGGTGCTGAGACAGGAAGGGGAGACGTTAGAGGCAGAAATGTCGCCGAAGGATGTTTTTGGAGAGGCCGGGCCATCACAGTGTTTATGTTGTGGGTAAGGCTTGGCTGCATGAGCGTAAGACCAGCCATGCTGGATTACAGCAAAGGTCCACCTGGTCCAGCACCCCATAAGGACGGGGACAAACTGAATGCTCATAGGATCGCTCAAGGGGGTCTGTTGGCAACATACAGGTATGTGAGGGGATGTCACACGGAGGTGGGGAGAGACCTGTTCTCCCCTGCAGAGGAAGGCAGGACGTGCTCCAACGGAGCAAAGCTCAGGGAACCCAGGCTCCATTTGGATGCCAGGAAGCGCTTCCTGACAGTCGGGACCCCGAGGGGGTGGAATGGGCTTCCCTGGGAGGTGGTTGATGCCCCATCGGTGCGGGTGCTCAAGGACAGGCTGGACATCCACATGGTGGGCATGTCGTGAGCGGAGCCGGCTGGTGCCAGAGGTCAGACTAGATGGCCCGGGAGGCCCCTTCTGACTTGCTCTGTTTCTATGTTCCAAGCAGAATGGGCGCAAGGCCTCCACCTGCCCAAGCTCTTCAGCTCCTCAGCAGCTGACGTGTGCAGGCAAGCCACTTCTGTTGAAGGAGGGGGCACACGGCTAGCAAGGCCAGTAGCCACGGAGAGCCTCCTCCTCCATGAATCTGCCCAGTCCCCCTTTAAAACCCTCCGGATGGGTGGCCATCCTGTGGCAGCGAGTTCCATCGTTCAACAATCTGCTGGTTACTAGTTCCTGGTTCCTTCCATGCATGGAACGCTGAAAGAGAGCTGCTTGTATGAACTGAAAAGGAGTCCAATACTGGAAAAAAAAAAAAACCACTCTCAGGTGTCCATCACCAGGTGACCGGCCCTTTGAAGGGAAGCAGGGAGTCCGCGTGGCCACAGCACGGCAAGCAGTCCCACGTGGCTGGCGTGGTTTGCAGTTTCTTCACTTGATGTGCCTGGCAGACAATCAGGCTCGTGGGGGAAGCACCCCCTCCGCCATCTCCCTCCCCTCAGTCCTGCAGGCATCCCAGGAGACACCGGGGGAAGCGAGAGACTCCTGGGCGGCTGGGATCGCAAGCCAGCCTGGCTCTCTGCAGTCCTCAGGCGGGCCGTGCTGCGCAAGCGGGGGTGCGCCCAGGTGCAGCGGAGAAGGCGAGGGAGCTGCCCGGCATCCTCGCCTCCTGAGGGGCTGCTAGGGCAGGAGGGTACCTGGCCCACGCTCAGGAAAAAGGGGCATCTCGCTGGACAGCCCTGCTGAGCGGATCCCCCCCTTGCCCTAGGAAGGTCCTTCACACACACAAGGGGGAGCAGGGAGGATCAGCGTGGAGCTGCACCTGGCCGGGGACGGCGTGGCTGAGCGGGTCCCTCGCTGCACTCGCCCGTCTTCCTCATTCCCGCTTGCAAGAGAGGCATTGCCCCCTGGCCTCACCTGAGCGCCTTTCCTGCAAGGGCAGTGGTAGTCAGGAAGGGTACTCGCCCCCCTTTCTGGCCCCCACCTGTGAGAGCGGGACCTCTGGCCCTGCACCCAGCGGCAGGGGAATCAGGTGCGCCTTCCCGCAGCACTGCCCAGCCGCCACTCCTTCCCGAGGCAGGTGAGCAGGCGGCAGGCAGAGTGGGGAAGCCTCCGATGGCCAGGCAAGAGGCAGAGGGCAGTGCCGCTCTCTGCCTAGCTGCTTGGCAAGAATGCCAGCAGGCCACTCCTGGCAAGCAGCCCTCTAGTTCTGGCACTGGTACCACAGCAGGTGTGCTTTCTGGGTTGAGACCACACAACAAAGCACATAATCCTGGGAAACCATAGAAAGGACTGTTTCTAAAGAAGGAAAGTCCTCCAAAAGCCCTTTCCATGACAGCCCCGTCCAGCCCTTCCAAGTGCAAGGATTCAGTCCATCTCAGATTTGGTCCTCCCCTTTGTCTTCTGCCTTTGGGTGTCTTCTCCAGGGAGTCTGGCCTTCTCACGACGTGTCCAAATTAGAACGCGTCAACTTTGGCCTTTTTGCTTCCTGGGAAAGCTCTGGCTTGATTCAATCTAGGACCCGCTTGTCTTTCTGTCAGTCCAGGCTATTCACAAAGTTCTCCTGTATTTTTCAAAATAAATTATTTTAAATGACTTAGTCTTTTAAAATAGAAGAATAACTGTACCATGCTAAAATACCACATAGGGTTCAGATGACACGACAGTCCAACAATGGTAGAAAGCACGGTGGCTTGCCCTGCCGTGTGAACCCACCACCCACAATGCACAGTCCCTGCCAGACTTAGTGGGATGATGGTATCACTTGGGACAGAGCTGTGTGCAGCTGGCCTCTTGAAATTCTCCACCCTTTCGCAGGAAGATAAATCGGGCAGGCAATTTCACAAAGTTTCTCCAGGGAGAGGGGAAATTCTCCAAGAGCATTCACTGGCTGGGCTCATTCTTGTCAGGGTTTGTAGCAGTTTCTGTTTCTTTTCCCCCTAAGAGTTTTATTTCTAATTTTTGGTGCTGTTCCTGCAAGTGGAAATAGCTTTAGTTGTGTTGGCCAGCGGCACCCTACTTTGCAGTGCTGTTGTGTAGTGGGTTGTATTGCATCCAGTTTATGCGGATGGTCCAATTTCCTGAAAGTTTTCCCCCCAAAGAAGGAAGTTCTTCCATTGCTCTTCCATCCAGGGATGTCAGAGAAACCCACAATGGATTTCTGTGAATCTCACCTGGGGATTGCACAGTGGACCAGCTTTTTCTGAGCTTCCTGGACTTATGGAACAGTTTTTCACTTTAATTTGTGAGTGTGTGAATTTGTGCTAACGTGCATCAGCATGAATCCACATTAACTAATGCATATTAGCACAAATAGAATGAAATCCTGGTTTTAAAAAACTTGATCCTGCCAGTGAATGGACAGTGGCAGGAAAGATGTCGTATACCCTCCAAAATGTAGATTTTGTATTCAACAAAATCCAGGCACTCCTCATTCTGCCTCATTTTCAGAGTGCGTTATAGTTTATTTGTGGGATGTTTTGGATCCTACTTAATCAGAGCAAGAGAGTATTGGGTGAGGGGGGTGTGATTCCGCCCCCCCCCATTACATTCTGCAGCCCCCTGGGCTTCCTGCACCTCCTGGTCTAGAAAAGCCCCCTTGGAAGAATTTCCCCTGGCTTTAATTGAGGTGCATGGAGTTAAGGATGGTCCAGGTTGCCATCAAGGTGTTTGTACAACAGAACCAAGGCATTGTGTGCATTTCTCCACTACCTCCTAGGTAAGCCAAGCACAAGAAACCTTTCTTCTTTGATTTTTAAAAAAGCAATATCTTTCCTATCAAACTGATTGTGAATGGTCCAGTGATGTGGGAGAAACTTTCAGCACCAACAGATGTAGCAGTGGCTACCGGTTTGGTTGGCTTTTCAAGGGGATTGGGCAATCTTTCATTCATTTCTACATTGCCCCACAGCTGAAGCTCTCTGGGTGGCTGACACAGTCCATAAAAAGAGATGGTAAAAGTACAATAAAATATCAGAAAAAACAGATCAAGTTTAAAAGAGCTGAAACAGATGATAAAAAGGCAATAACAAGGAATGGCAAAAAAGAAGGAAAGAAAAGACCCTGCACTCAGGGAGGGGAAGCTGATCCGTGAGGTTAGGGCTATCAGCTGCCTCAGGTGTGAGGGTCAGTGTAGCTGGGTGCATCAGTTGCTGGGGAACATGGGTAAGGGGGTGCTGTGGTTTTCCTGCCCTGCTTGTGGGTTTCCTATGGGCAGCTGGCTGGGCACTGTGAGGGCAGAGGGCTGGACTGGAAGGACCCTGGGCCTGATCCAGCCCAGTGCGGCTGTTCTTCGGTTCTCTAAGCAGACGAGTCATTTGTGTGTAATGCGTAGCACATGAATAGCTGGGGACCCCTGATTTCAGTGACAAGGCGCTAGGAGTGGAGGGTGCCAGGCAGAGGCCAGGCGGCCACCCATCCGGGGTGCACGAAAGGGACTGCAAGGCCCCTTCAGGTTCTTCATCATGCCTGGAGAAGCTCCGCAGAGAACCCCAGCCAGTCATTGTGTGAAGCGCAGGCTGGACGCTTCCCCAGGGGCTGTTGCTCTTCGCAGGAAATCCGGCTTGGGGTGGGGGGATTTAGAAGGGTCAGGAATGTTGGGGATTGGAGGGGTGGCATCCTGCGCTGCTGTGGGTCTGATGGGCGCAAGAACGGCCGGAGAACCGGGATGGAGGAGAACCGATGCCTCTCGCCAAGCATCGGGGAGGTGGGGGGGTGGGCCGGGATGAAGGCCGGGGGATGAAGGCCGTCCTCGTGACTCGGTTTGCTCTTCTGTCCCAGCAGATGACGTGCTGACAGGGATGACCCAGGGGCCGCCCGCACCCCAATGGCGTCCTCGCAGCCCCTGGAACTGGTAGTCTTGGGGAATGGCACAGGGCCCAGCCAGCGAGCCCCCGTGGGGGGGTCTTCGGCACCATGGACAGCCCCTTGCTCCGGGATCGAGAACACCTCCTTCCAGGGGGAGGAGGACGAGGAGGGGGCAGGGACCTCCTTCCGGAGTGGCCAAGGCACGGGGAGCAGCCCCAGGGAGAGCACTGCTCCCCCCCGTGGAGACCTTTCCCCGAGATCGGAGGATGCCCCTTCGCCGGACACCGCTGGGAACTCCACGGACTACGGCTTCATCTTGGCCTTAGTGTTCCTGGTCAGTGGGATTTTGCTAGTGATTGTGGCCTACAGCATCCCCCGGGAGGCGCGGGTGAACCCCGACTCCGTGTCCGCCCGAGAGATGGAGCGGCTGGAGCGGTACTACGCCCGCCTGGGCTCCCGCCTGGACAAGTGCATCATCGCGGGCCTGGGCTTGCTGACTCTGGGCGGGATGCTGCTCTCCGTCCTCCTCATGGTGTCCATCTACAAGGGGGAGCTCTACAGGAGAAGGACTTTCCCTGCCTCCAGGGCCCCACGGAAGACGTACGGCTCTATCAACCTGAGGATGAGGCAGCTCAACGGGGAAGGGGGACAAACCTTGGTCGAGAATGAGGTCATCACCGAAGCTGCCGCCGTCGGCCAGAACGACTGACGCTTGACGGAGCCTTCCCAGGGCAAACCTTGCGTGAAGGACCGGGGTCAAGGAAGGCTCTTTCCTGAGGCTGGGAAGGAGAAATGCAGCGGTTGTGTTGAGGGATCCCTTTGTACCTCAAAGATAAAGCGAGCGAGAGAGAGAGCAAGGCTGTGATTTCACCTCCTGGAGGGGAAACATGCATGGAAGCAGTTTAAACCAAATCTCAGGCACACCTGGACCAGCCTTCCACTGTTACCACACACGAAACAAGCCCACATGTTTGGACAACCAAATAGGACTGTTCATTTTCCGGGGAGTGGAAATGTCTTTCTAAAGCACTGACACTCGACCTCGAAGAGAACCTGCGAGCCCTGAATGTCTTCTGTGCTATGTACAGTGCCGGGATCTACCAACTCGCGTAGCTTTGTGACTGTCGTACAACCAAATACCGTATGCTGAAGAGATAGAACCAAAGTATCGTGTCTGAGTGTTTGTGGACCGCCCGGGTGAGCCAGGTGACTCTTTTTTCAGCCAACCACCTCGTAGCAATAGCTCCACCTAGAAGATGTGGAATTTCAGCCCTCGCTTCTCCCAGTGAGAGGGCGGGATGTATCCACGCGGGACGCGGTTTGTGTGCATTCTGTGGCACTCGCACCTCGTGACGGTCCCCATGCGCTTTCCGCTTGTGGCACGACTCGGAAACCTGGATGGAACGTGCGCAGGAGTTGACTTGCCCGCACCCCTGTGTCACCAGCACGCTCGGCTCCTTGGTCTCGCTGACCAAACCCACCTGTGCCCCAACGTCTCTGCCTTTTGAGGAAGTGCTGCAAACAGCTGTTTGGAAGGTACCTCCAGTCATCCCAGCTTCCTCCTTGATGAGTGGCTTTTTCACCCACCGGGCGGAAGCTGAAAGCTTTCGCTGCAGTTTGGGGATAAAATTACATCTTCAATGCAAAGCATGAAACATTGATGAAGGCCAGCATGTGCGAAATGTGTCAGCAGGAAGTTAAAAATGGAACTCACTCAGCCACGGTCAAACAAAAGGTGACCTCTAAAAGGTATGGCTGCCAGTTTAAAAAAAAAGTGGAAAATGCTGCCGTCAGCCAAGTATAAGACATGGGCAGCCGCAGACCAGGAAATATGTATCCCTCGGTTTTCAAGATTTCAAGGAGTGAAGGGAAGGCGTCCTTTTGAATCCTGCGCACAATGGTTTGTTCTCTTTGTTTTCCCTTTAAATGTTGCTCCCAGATCTCCCAGCTCCTCCTGGAATTCCTAGAATTTTACAATTGTTATAATTGGGAGCGGGAGATAGAAGTACCACTCATTTAAAAATGGAGAGCGAAAGAAAAACCCGTCAAGTGCAGGGTTGGATCCACATGCACAGCGAAAGACGGTGGTGAACTGTGAACTGTGCCTTTTCAGGCAGCTGCTGTGAGTTGCTCATATTTATACATTTGTTGCATTGCCATCCCACCATTTCTTCTTGCAGGGAAGCTGAGGCCACGTACTCCATCCTCCTCCTCCTCTCCATTTCGTCTGCCCAACAACCCTGTAAGGTAGGTTAGATTGAGGGTAGGGACTGGCCAAAGTCACCCAGTGAGCTTCATGGGAACTAGAATCAGATCTCCTGAGCCCCTGTCCAGTGCTCTCACCACTACACCATACTGTCTCTAGTGTCATTATTATGGGGTTATTGTTCTTATGGGAATAATAGTAATTATAATAATTAATCATGCATTTGTGCTCCGCCTTTTTTTCCTTTTGCAAGGAACCCAAGTGGCTTACAAGTTTCTCTCTGTTTCATCCTCACAACGACAACCCTGTGAGGTAGGTCGGGCAGAGAGTCTGTCCAGGCAGAATGGGGACTCGAATTCTGGCCCAGTGCTCTAACCAGCATGCCACACTGGCATTCATTAGCTCTAGTCCCATCCTCCTCTTCCATTAACTTATTTATGCATTATATTTTATTTTTATTTATTATATTTCTAACCTGCCGCTTTTCCTCCTGAGAGGAGCTCAGCATGGCTTAAGTAAACCTCTCCATTTTATCCTCCCAACTACCTGATGAGGTTGGTTAGTGACAGGCGTCTCCTGAGCCTCCCAGGGAATAAACACGGATCTTACGACTCCCAGTCCTGCAGTCCAGGGTCTGGCGAGCAAAGCTGCAGCCTAGCTTTCTTCTTTCCTTTTGTAAAAATAGGATTTTTCTCCCACGGTGCATAGAGGGCCACGCCATTCCAGCATCTCAGGACCCTACCAGCGTTTTCTGCTGCACGCACAGGGCCAGCCCTGAAGACGCAAAGATTTGGGGGGGAAATGGAAGAAAATACCTCTAACGTGCATTTGCTTCATTGTCCTAGTCTGTTTCTCCTCATCGACACTCTGGACCTCACTTTATTCTCCTCATAGTCTCCTCACCTGACTGCTCCACAACCTGGCTCTGCTAGGCGGCTGAAGGGCTCAAACCTATGACTATCTGAATGGACAAAATGGTCACAACTCCCCTCCCCACTCTGAGGACCACCCCCCAAACGTCTCTCTTGAAGCGGCATTTTAACATCCATTTCCGAATGTTTTAAATTGAACATTTTCTCATAAACGCAACGACCATTTGAAAACGGTTCATGGTCATGTTTCGGCTCCTCTTCTTGATCTTTCCCTCTCCCTCCTCATCAGGGTCTGGGGTGGCCTTGGGAAAGGCGCATCTGCAGGGGCTCTGGACCAATCCTCCAAATGCAGCACTTTCTCAGCAAGGAAAGTCATGGGGCACCGATGGCGACTCACACATGGGCCTTGCAGTGCCGTCACAGATGCGCATGACGGATGAGGGCCATGGCACACGGAAAGCACCGCTTGCGCGGATGGCTTGGAGCCGGGCGAAGCGCGTCTCCCCTGGGAAGAGGCAGGCAGATACTTGTGGATGGAATCACCCGACCCGGTTTGCATGACCCTGTTTCCGAGGTGGCCTATTTAAACCAGTGCCCTTGCACCTTGGGTGCTGCTAGCCTCATCGTCCCTCAGGCCGTGGCTTGAGATGCCATCGAAAACCTGGGCGGCGTGGCTTGCGGGAGGGGAGACGATCTTCGGATGACCCTTGCCCTGATCTGGGGCGGTTTGAGGGTTGCTTCCCCCTCCAACAAGCCACGCTGCCTGAGTCTGGATGACACACAATCTGCAGGCCATCTGCGTGTGGACAGGTGCCTCCAGTTTAAAGAAGACACTGCGGGGCATTTATTTAATCCACGTGCCCCAAGGTGAGCTCCAGAAACACTCAGCAGTGCAGAAGGAACCCCTGAGTCAGATATTAGCATCTGGTAGCCTTTCTGCGGAGCTGGCCACTTTTCAACGCCCATGTGCCGCTCCGGAGAGCTGCAGGAGCGGCAGCAGAGGCTCTGGGAAGGGAGGTGGGCGATGGGGATCGTAGTGGGCAGGATGGGGTCCACAGTGGGTGTCATTGGGGTGGTTTAGGGTCCCCCATTGGGTGTGAGTGGGTTCTCTGCTGCCTTAGGGGGCAGAAAACGTGTGCTAGGGCTGGCTTTTCCAGCAACAACATGCTGTTCCGAGTTGCAGTGCCAGATATTTGCGCAACAAAGGCCTGTTTTGCAAAACAGCTGTGCTTGGTGGACATCGAAACGGCTCGGGCTCGACTGTGGAAGTGGGTCGATGCAGCTGCCCGCATTCCGGACTCTCCTCCTCGTGGTTGTGGACACGGCCATGACGAGCAGCTCCGCTTCCAAATTTACCACCATGCCCCACCTCCAATCCTATACAAAGACCCTGGAAGTAAGTCTCATGCAGCACAGCCTGACTTTCCTGGGAAGGCACGTGAAGGCCCATACCTGCAGAACACTGCATTCATTCAAGGCTGCTTTATATGGCGGGGTCGTTTCGATGGCGGGGGGACGGGGCGGCGAGGCGACGGTGCCGACCGAAGCAGGAGCAGCGAGGGCATCTGGAGGAAGTGTGGTGTGGTGCGTGTTTCCCCTCATAGCTGTGCTTTCTTGCACAGCCTCTGGTTGAGCGCTCGTTTCTAGTCCTCAAAGTTGCAGGGAGAGACTAGAAAGAGTATGGACGTGACTTGCACTCGGAGGCTGGAGGCAGCTGAGGCACGATCAGCGTTCCCAGTGCATGGGAAACGGCTGCTGGGTGCAGCCGGGGCCCACAGGGACGCAGTGCCGGCCCTTTTGATTATCGGCGATGCTGGTGTCATTTGTCCCCTCCACTGATTCTTTGCCCCCTTTGATCTTCGCTCGCAGTGGCTGATGGTGGTGCTGGAGATTTTGGGGGAACGGATGTAGCCAGGGTGGAATCGGTGCAGCGAAGGGGCACCAGGACGGTGGCTGGTTTGCAGGGGAAGCCAGACCAGGAGAGGCTGAGGGAGCCGGGTCTCTTCAGCTTAGAGGAGACTCAGGGGGGAGCCGAGTGTATGTGAGGGGGTGTCACGCAGTGGTGGGCTGAGACCTATTGTCCCCTGCGGAAGAGGGCAGGATACGTTCCAATGGAGCAACGCTCAGGGAACAAAGGTTGAAGGTGGATGCCTGGAAGTACTTCCTGATGGTTAGGGTGTGGAATGGGCTTCCACAGGAGGTGGTTGAGGCCCCATCGGAGGGGGTGTTCCAGGACAGGCTGGACGTGCACATGGTGGGCATGTCGTGAGCGGAGCCGGCTGGAGCCGGGGGTCAGACTAGATGGCCCGGGAGGCTCCTTCTGACTCACTCTATGTTTCTATGTATCCTGTCCTTCCTCACAGAGAGCCGGAGTGGCTGACTTCCCACATAAAATAAAGCATGCAACATACACAACAGTACAATCATGACTTGCATCACAAAACATCATAAAACCATCAAGACGATCCACTGAGAAATCAAACGAAGACGTGTCTCTCTCTCCAAAGCCTCCCCTCCGCAGAGAAATTGCCCGTTCACTAGCCGCTCAAGGACAACGGTAGGGGAGGCAGCGGAACCTGTGCAGAAGAACTTCCGCAGCCAGGGGCCTCCTGCAAAACTGCCCTGCCATGTGTGGGAGCCCCAAATTCTTCCAGGGCTTCACAAGCAAAACCTTACCTGGATGATTTTAAATCGCAGCATGGTCCGGACTGGGGCAGGCAGCAGCACTGGAGCCGAAACGCCCTCCGGAGAATATGTGCATGGATTTTGTGCATGGGTGGGAGGTGGTTATGGAGGGGGCATAAAGCAACCCAGCTCATTTTGGGAGATGGGGGACCCATTCACCTTGCAGAAACCATGCCCTTCCAGGCACCTGCCCCCCCCCCTTCGCTCCCCAAATCCCCCCAGCAGGAAGCCACAGGGTGGCAGAAATCACTCGGGATTCTTGTGCAGAGAAAGATCCCGAGGCCCATTTCCTCCTTGCAGGCAACAGGACATTCAGTTACTTTGGGAGAAAACACCAGTGGCTAATAGGCCGTGGATGCGGACAGGTGCTCTGCAGAAGCCAGAGAGCCGCTCCCCAACGATAATTCCACCCCCCGGTAGCCCAGATCTGCACCAGCGGAACTCTGCAGCCCTGGCTCTTCTGTGCAAGTGCCGGGGATCCTGGGATCAGTTATAAAATGTTGTGGGGTGCTGGCGGAAACAGCCCAGCGAGATGTGGCCTGCGGCCGTCCTTCAGCGGGGCATCCTTGGCTCAACGGATGCGAGGGCAAGGAGAGGGTAGGAGGAGTCGGGGTGACTCTTACTGCGAGAGTTCGGGGAGGAAATGAACGTATCACACCCGCTTCATATTACAGGCGCCACAGGTCCGTGGACAGGGCCCAGTTAGCTGGCTTGGTAGCCTCCCCCTGGTTAAAGCATCCTCAGTGTTTTCCTTCAGAGGAAAAATATCTCCAGGTCGGGGCCAAGAACAGATCTTCGGGACGGTTCTGCTGCTCTCCATGGGCACCTGAATCAAATGTTCTCCGGGAGCACAGTCTGAGTTTCCCTGCAATCTAGCGAAACATCCCATGAGGCCCAGCTGTGCCCAGGTGGACTCCAGCACAGATAAGGGGCTTCTCCCTGCTTCCCCCCTGAATTTAGAAAAGTCCCCCAAAGAATTTGGCCGCAGGGCTTGTGGAGAAGAAGGGAAGTCCCCTCTCTTGGGTGGCAGATACTCAGTTGGTGGACAGTCACAACCGGGTTTCCCTGGTAGAGTCAAGATGATCCGGGGGCTGTAGAGAAATTAGCTAGAACTCCTTGCTCAGATTGCCTAGGACAGTGATGGCGAACCTTTTAGAGACCGAGCTCCCAAACTGCAACCCAAAACCTGCTTATTTATCGCAAAGTGCCAACACTGCAATAAAACCTGAAAACTGAGGTTTTAGTTTAGAAAAAACAACTCACAGCCAGTACAAGCAAATATATATATGTCCGTGGCAGCGCACTGACCAGCCATGTGAAAGCTCGGACGAGTCGCAGCTAATGAGTCGTGGCTCGTGACGTCATCGCCTGGCACCACCACTCCTTTCTGAGCATGCGCACGGCCCCTCTGTGCGCTGTTTTCCGATGCTCGGCTGCTGAGGCGATGCTGGGGTGACCTGGCTCGTGTGCCGACAGAGAGGGCTGTGTGTGCCCGCTGTGGCACGCGTGCCATAGGTTTGCCACCACTGACCTAGGACAATTAGTACACACAGGGACAAGAGACCCATGCCTTGAAAATTAGCGGTCAGTGGGGTCCCTCATCTCCATTCCGTAATTATCAAATTCCAGCTGGATACCTGGGTTTTAGAATGCTGGAAAGGCTTTTGCACGGCTGCCTGAAATTGGAGGGGGTGTGTGTGTGCAGGGTTGCTTGTCTGAGTGAAGGAGTACACGCACATGTGCATTTACACGTTCCATTTTTCAAAAGTTTATTTTAGTTTTAATGATGCAAATCATGTTTCTTATATTGGGATGCCTTTTGGGGTGGTGGGGGGAGCATTCTTTGAACGCCAACCCCCACTTCTGGAAATGTAGGCCAAAACAGCCCAACATTTTGGAAACGGAGCCAGTCAAGACCCCGTGGATCCTCAAAACTTGGGCTGAAATCCTGCAGAGGGGGAATTTATAAGTCCCCTTGCCAGGGATTGCCGTGTGAGTCTGTTCTGCTACACATTTCAATGTGTAATCTTGTTGCTTTGAAATAATCGTCCGGGGTGGATTAAAAGGCAGCCTCTGCTTGCACACCCCGGCAGGTCTGGTAGGCAGCCATCCCGGAGCGGTGCCAAAAAGCCAGCCTGTTGCGTGAGCATCGGCTGGTTTTGCACTCAGTAAATTAAATGCCCTTTAGAAAAGCGCGACCTGCTTGAGAGATTGTATCTGCGGAAGGCCTGGCTGATCGAGGGCTCTGCTTTGTATTATAATGTGAATGGCTCTTTCTCAAGAGGCTGTAATGAAATCAGTTGTGTATTACGCTGACATCTGACATCGCCTTGCCAGATTATCCATCGGAGGCTGGCTGGGAGTTGCTGGCTGGGGGATGCTGGGGGCTGTAGTCCAACACAGGGGACGGCAGCAAGTTGGGGAAGGCTGACTTGCTCAGTGGCTGAAGCAGAGCTATTTCATGCCAGCACCAGCCGGGCTGCCTACAAACACTGATTGGGACCTGATCCGCTGAGAAACTCTTCTGCATACTGAAACAAACGGGAGCCCAGTCCCCATTCATTTCAATAGAACAATTGCTGGAGAATTTCCAAATGGATCCTGCCGGGTGGGAGACGCAGGGTCAGTGGAGCCCAGAGCCTCCATGCCGATTGTGGGCTCGGTGGGCGAACTGCTTCCGGTGCGAGACCCCTCGTTCAGGGTGCGGAGGTGGTTCTGCCCGGGATGCAGAGCATGCGCTGGGTTATTCGCACAGAAGCACATCAGGAAAGCCCTGCGGGCTAGACCAAAGTCCCATCTAGTCCAGCGGCAACCCAGCCGCCCCCAGGACCCTTCCAGCAGGACAGGGCAAGACCTGCTCCCACCCAGCTCCTCAGGACTGGCGTCTGCAGGAAAGTCACCTCTGCTGAAGGAGGGAGCACCTGGCCAGCAAGGCCATAGCCCCCCACGAATCCTTAAAGCCCTCCAAATGGGCGGCCATCACCACTTCCTGAGGCAGCAAGTTCTACAGTCGGACTAACTGCTGTAAGAGGGCCTTCCTTTGATCTGCCCCTAACCTCCCGTCCTCCAGCTTCATGGGATGGTCCTGGGTTCGAGCGTTTTGGGAGGGTGAGAAAAACCCCTCCCTCTCCACACCACACCAGGCTTATTTCGGGAGACGTGATCATGGCGAGCACAAGCAGTGGCCCGGACCAAATCCCAGGCACCCACCGGCACGTCCTTTGCACAAAAGCCGGCCAGCCAGCTGCCTCTGGGGAGCCCGCGAGGTGGTGGGGGAACCTGTCCCCCAGCAACTGGCACCTGGAGGCACGCTGCCTCCGCCCCTTCTGGTGGCCTGTAGCCATCAGGACTAGCAGCCCTCGTTGCGGCCTACTCTGGTTCTAGCTTGTCACTATAATGTGAGAGGAGGCAGAAAAAATGTGTAAAGATGGACTTTCCTTCCACTGACAACAGCTTTTAGTAAAACATCTCGCTAGTTCAGTATCTCAAAAGGCAACCTCTATTGAGTTTTCCATTCAACCGTTCATTTATTTTAATTGATTAACCAATTAAGTGTAAGAGGTAGGTAGGCAATTACAAATTAAACCTTTTCCTCCATCGACAGCCCTGATCAGTAATAAAAATAACTATTTCTCAGATGTTTTCTTGGTTCTGCCGTGGACCGATTTGGAAAAATCCTTGGGGCATTTTGGAGAAATCCAGAACCTGTGGAATTTGAGTGCCCGCCTTTGTTTTGCGCAATCGGTTGGGAAGTCTAGTGGGTTATCCAGAATCTTCATTTTGAACCAGCTTGTGCATCTTCTGGGTTAACGGAATGCTTCCCCCCGTGGCTTGGCCAGAGGCACAGAAGCGGCTCTCTGAGCATCAACCTTCGACTTTTCACTGCTTTCTGAAGTGTGGTTCACGTGTGCAGCCCCCACGCGTGATTCATTTCCCTCAGTGGCACAGTTGATGCCGGATGCCCCAGATTTCACAGCCATGGGGTACTTGAGCCACGGGGAAAAGCTCATGCAAGCAGAAAAGACGACAAGAGGGACTGGAGAGAGACTTTTAATTCACTTGCCTTCTGCATTCACAGCAAAACAATCAACAGCCACTAGTTGGCAAAAACTCAGAAAACTTGGGCTGCATCCAAGATGGACCGTGCCTTTTACGGCCCCACAACTGATGGCCTTCGCTGCTCCGTGGAAGTCCCTGCAGCCGATTCACACAACTGCCCTGCCCACCACCCGCTGGTTGCGCTTGCGAGCGCTCCATGCAACTCTTTGGCCCTCTTCGGCTTCCACGAACACCTGCCCATTTCCAAGGATGCGCCAAGCCCCAGTATCCACCAGAGCCTCAACACCCATCAAAAGGAAAGAAATTTTGAGACACACACAGAGAAATTAGTCATTTTTGGCAGCTACGGAACTTGCAGGAAAAAGGACACCTTTTCATTCACCCCCTTCGCTCCGAGGGAATGATGGAGCGACCCGAGTCCTCCAGAAGGGAAGCCAGATTCCTCACCCCGGGATCACAGCTAAGGCCAGTCAACATTTCCCAGGGCATTAAAATGGATGATGGGAAAGGAAGAGGCTCAAAAACAGCCTGCTCCGACTCAGGGCCCTTCAGGCATGGTGGATCACCACTCCCATCTCCCGAGATGATGGGAGTTCTACTTCAAGACATGAGGAGGGCAGCAGCGGTGGGGAAGCCGACCCAGAATGCGCCATGTTCTTCCGGGGAACAAATGTCTCGCGGCCGACCCAGGGCCATCTCTTTGGGCAGCCGTCCGAATGGATCTGGCAGAGCAGGCGGCCTCTGCGGCTCACGAAGACCCTCAGAGACGCCCCTGAAGCCCGGCTGGCTGCTGGGAAGAAAATGAGACCCCCGGCCACCTGTGCTGGGAGGGAGGCGCATCCCAATTCAGGAGTGGGGGGCAGTCATGCGGTGGGCTTGTCCGTTTGCTTGGGGCACCAGCTGACAGCTACCCCACCTGCAAATATTTAGAAGGCAGAAGGGAGGGGAAAGTGTCCCCTTTTCTTTTGGATGTGCTTCAAAAAGGAAGGTTGCAAGTTTGCTTCCAGCCAAAGCCAGGATGTCAGGGCCAGGTTCTTGGGGAAATCAGCTGACTTTTCCCTTCCCAGAGCTGCTCCAGTCGGCCAGAGCATGATCCAAGCCCGCTGCAGCTTCACGGAACGGGTGTACGAATGGCTGTCGGCAGCCGGCAGCCCGGGGGTGAAACTCTCTCTAAATCAGGGGTTGGGAATGGCAGCAATCAGGAGCTGCATTTGCTTCTGGGCAGCCACCTGCGTTCTGAAGCATTAAAAGAAGAAAATCCGTGGCAACCCACTTTGTGGCGCTCAGAGCGCTGCATTTAGACCCCTGGTGAATCGAAAGGTGTCCGTCCACTGGGGCGCTCCACGGCCACCACAGAATGCTGACCTGTTTGCCGTTATTTCTAAATTTGGGGCACAGCTTGGGCCACACTAGGGGGACACCCAGAGCTGGGTGCGGCCTGTAGGCCAAGGGCGGCGAGCGCCTTTCTGAATGCTCGCCAGCTCTCCTCTTCCTCCCGCGTCTTATCCTCTGTCTCCTGGGCAGAGATCACCAGTTCCTCACTGCTAGCTTCATGCTTCCACGGAGAGAAGACCGCCCTCCCCAGCCCCTCCTTGGGAGACAGCCACGAATTTGAGGCTGCAGCCCTCAAGAAAGGAAGCGGTAAGCCCACAGGGGGATGGGTTGATGTGGTGATAACTGGAGGGGCAGCTGGGGGAGGAGGAGGTCTTCGGGGGCCGCCCGCCCGCCCAGTCCATGGCTCCTCCAGCGGGTGAACGGCCGCTTGGGCTCTCAGCCGCTGACCAAAATTCGAGGAAGAGATGCTTTCGTTCTCACACACCACACTGAAAACAACACACCCTAAGGCCCCACACCACTACCGTGCGGTGGGCTTGCTGGACAGGCCCCTGCCGTTTCAAGGTGCCGGGGGACCACGGCGGGAAAACTTGGGGAGAGAAAGAGAAGGATGACGGCGAGGAACATCTCTGCCCGCTGCTTCCTCTTCTGCTTTATATGCCAAGAAACCAAAGCCAGCCGGCAGAGCCAGAGAGAATAGCCCTGCCGGCCGCCGTCTGTGCCTCGAACATTTGGGCGCAAGAGACGAGCTCAGATCACGCCAGTGCGGTGGGGGGGGGGGGCTCTCCGGCGGCTCACATAAACATATCGTCGTAATTGGGTGGTGGAAGATGGTCAGGGCCGGGCCTGAAAGATGGATGGAGAACATTAAGTATAAAGCTTTAGGACGGAAACATTTGAGAAACTGCATTTTGTGGCACGGCTGTCAACGTCAGCCAGGAATGGTCGAATGGTCACGAGCCACCTTGAAGACAAGCCAAGCAGCGGCCAGTCGTTCTGCCAATTCTGCCTGCTTTCTTTCCCGCCCAATTTCCCCCCTTCATAGCAGTTTTGTTCTCGGGCCGCTCAGCTCAAACCAACCAGGGATAAGCCACAGTCCTGGGTTGGACTTCCTGGTTCAGCCTAGCCAGACTCTTTGTAAGCCAGTAACAAGCCATGTTTCTTTGCGAGGATGGGCTCAGATGCAACCACCACCCAGATTTCAACAAACCGCCCCAAGACTGAGCATCATGCACAAACCAGGCCACTGTGATGCGGCAACAAACGTGAGACCAGCTGATCTTTCACACGCTGAGCGACAATCACCATGGGACTGAATGGGAGGCTGGCTGGATTGCAGCAGCAGGGAAGGAGGGGGCCGAAGTGGTGAAGGCTCTGATGAGCAAAATTGGGGAGGCTACAAACAGCTCCTTTAGCTGGACCCCCCCCCCCGAGCCCATTACACGCCTGAAATGCCGAGGCAGCTCTGAAGGGGCTCAGCATGGCACCAAACCTGCCCATGCAAAGTTTGACGTGGAAAGCAGCGCAGGAGAAAGATTCCTCGTGAGGCTCCTGGTGGTGATGCGGGATTTCTTGGCCACAAGGATCCATGGGAGAGGGAGTATCCATGGATCCCAAAGACCCTGCAAGGGACTTGCCTTGCTCAGGATGGATCCCAGAGCAGGGTTAAGGTTCTGGCTTCTTGAGGCAAGAACCTGGTGCCACCAAGTATCTTGGTAGCAGCCGGAAGGTATCCAGATGCCACCACAGGACTGGTGACATCACTGGGCACATAATGTAGGTTTTTGCAGTTGAGGTTAACTGAAGTCATTGAGGCCAGAGATGACCTAAGCCCAGGGCCATGCCTGTTTTGAGCTGAGCCTGGGGGAGCTAGTTTACCAGCGACGCTTACAATGAAGCCCATTTAGAGGGGACCCTTCAGTGGGCACTGCCTGCGACTGAGCGACTCCAGTCCAGGACATCCAGCCTTGGAATGGGTCCGCGGCAATCCACTTCCCATCCACTGCAAACCGAACCTACAAATATCGAGGGGTTCTGGCCCATTTCAGGTCACAACTTCATGTGAAAGCTCACGAGGATCGGACACTGATTTCCTTCCTTGGCACCATCAATCCCAGGAAACTCACCCAAAATTCACCCTCTTCCCTGACTGGCCTTTCCCCATCCTGGGGGCCTCCCACTACTAAGCAAAACTGGTGCTCCGGGAATCAACAGCAGTTTGGGCAGTGAAAATGGTACTAAATGTTCTGTTGCAAAGCTTTAAACCTCGGCTGCCGGCTACATGCCCCCCAACTCACCCTCCGCGGCCGGCCCCAGGTGGTCCAAAGGGATCAAATCTTGCACCGGGAGGAACAGAGCCAGGTGGGAGATTACTGGGGAGCCCCGAGGACGGGTCGATGACGGGGTTCCGGAACCTGGAGTGAAGGGGATCCATGAGCATTCCCCCGCTTCGGCCCCTACGCAAGAGAAGGGCAGATTTGGGTTAATAACTGGGTGCAGTCTGGACTTGACCATCATCACCCATTTCATTTCTATCCCACCAGCTGTTGAAGCACAACGGTACATAACAAGGCTAGAATGAAGTACAAGAGAAACGGTATAACATCTTATTTCGAAAAAGCAACAACCATTCAAAACAGCTAAAACAGCGAGTGAAGAATGACCTTGTACAAGGTGTACAAACACCTGCGCTGTGGGAAGAAAACAGACCAGGGGACGGTGCTCTCGCTCTCGCCCGATTACGCAACCCAACGGAGCCTCCCATGAAGCCAAAATCCCACAAGAACACACAAGCTCCCAAATTCTCCAGGACTCTTCACCAGGGTCCAAGAAGCAGAGGTGCATCCGGAGGACTGGAAGATCTGCACGCGTTGGTGGGACCGAACAGAGCGGTTGGCCAGTTGTGGATTTTGGGCTTTTTTCTGCCTTCACAGGTAGCCCTTGCTCTCTCTCCGCTTTGCTTTTGTTCTTTACGCTCCCTGAAGCTTCGATGCAAGCCCTTCCCCCACTAAAGACCCCCCACAACCCCACTGATTCTGGCCAGTTCTCTCGGTGGGGACATGAGCTGGCATTCAAGCAATGGAAAAAGCCCTTAGACAAGGGCCCGCCTTACCCAAAGGGGTCCAGGTCTTCTCCCCCGACGGCAAAGGGTCCCATGGGATCTCGCCTGGAAGAGAAGGCGTCTCCATGTGGCACGGGAAAGAGGCTTCACGGAACGCCTGGGCCCGGCCTCGCAACGTGTGGGAAGCCAAGGAACCTCCTCCGCATGGCCTCGCACGGCTGCAGGGTGCGGCCACTGAAATGAGCTGCACCCCACCCTAGCCCCCCGAAAGGCTGGCTCCCCAGGCTGCACGCTCCGTGATCCCGGCGAGGGACTCACCAGGGGGGCTGCCGGGTGCCCTGGGGCGGCCGCGGCGGGATCCACAGGGGGTCGTGATCGGGAGGGTTGGGAGGGGAGGGGTTCCGTTCGCGCTTGGGCTCCTCCTTGGTGGGGGCCCGCTCCTTGGTGGCCTCGAAGGGCGAGAGGATGTGGTGCGTGATGCGCGTCTGCAGCTCGTCCGTGCTCAGGTACACCCTGGCGAGAGACCGCCGGAGAACACCAAAGGAATGTTAAGCTCTGGGCCACCCTGGCCGGCACCAGGGTCCGCAGAAGCAGCCCCTACGAAGCCACCCTTCCCCCAAACCTGGTGTCCTCCGTAGGTGTTAACTACATCTCCCACCAGCCTGGACCACTGGCCAGGCTGGCTGGGGCTGATGGGAGCTGCCATCCAAAACATCTGGAGGGAACCAGGCCAGGTGAGGCTGACAAAAACCTCTTTTTCATGCTCGGCCCGCTGAGCTAAGAGGAAGTCCGTGAATGCTCGCAGAACTCCTCTTGTGCAACCCGGCAACCTTCCCCCACAGTACACGCAGCGCAACGAAGCCTCTGAGTTGTGTACATGGAGGCCGGGCTTGCGGAGCAGTCAGGTGGGCTCGGTTCCCGGGGCAGGGGCACTCGGCCAAAAGTTGGGCTCAGGGCTGCGGGAAAGTGGGCAGAGCCTGGGGAGCTGCACGGGGGGAACCCGCGGGATTCCCTGCATCACACAGTCAGGCTCCCAATCCAAAGCCGGAAAGGGCTGCTTGCTACTTGTTGCTGTTAACATTTAAAAAGTGGCCCAAGCAGCTAAAAGGCCACTGAGGCTTTTTGCAGCAATTTAAACAGCCATCTTAAAATGGCCTGAATAATGAACAATGACAGCACTGCAGTCAGCGGAATGGGGCTGTCTTTGAAGAGGCCCAGCTGTGGGTGGGAGTTGCCCCCTGCCCTGCTCCAGTGCCCTGGGGTAGCATAGCCCTAATCTACTCCCCCTCTCTCCCCAGAAGACTGTAAGCCCCTTGGGGCAGGGACGAGTGATTCTGCATCCAGAAAATAGCCCCGCAGCACAGCCTGAAGGCCCCAGACTCAGCATCAGCTGATCAGCCCTGGGAACCACACAGCTAATAGGGCCGGCTGGAAATCAAATAATAAATACATAAATATTTATTTATATATTTATTAAAACATTTCTATGCCGCCCCTTGCCGAAGCCTCGAGGCGGCTTACAACACAATAAAATACAATAAAATACAAAAATAACAATATAAAATTAAAATTAACAATATAAAATAAATAAAAAATATAAAATAAAATGGGAAGGGCCCATGGCTCAGTGGCAAAGCGTCGGCACCTTGAGTCCAACCCCCAGCATTTCCTGATAAAAGGGATCTCGGATGGCAGGGGTTCCCTAGATGCATTTTCTTACAATGGGGAACCAAGTGTGCGTATGTGTATATATTGGCCTTCCCCAGCTCCATCATCCCCAGCCAGCAGGGCCTCTGGAAATGATGGAAGCTGTACTCCAAACACACCCAAAGGGCACCAGGGTCAAGCAGGCCAGGATACACCTTTGGCCCGAGCCAGGGTGGCTCTCACGTTGAGCTCCGCAAGAAGGTGCTGGAGGCAGGAAGGCCGCTTACCTGTCGAAGTCAGCCAGGTGTTGCGGGTTGACGTAGTCCGCCACTTTCAAGGTCAAATCTGCCACTTTCTGTGACTTGGGATCCTGAAGGGGAGAGGAGAGACACAAAGCTGAGCTGGGGACCCGTTTGCTGGAAGGGAAGCATGACGGGGGGCATTCTCGATGCTGCGCAAAGACACGTTCCGGCCCCACACATGGCAGCGAGCAGGGGACGGCAGCCCCAGCCGACCCGCAGCGGAAGGCCGAGCCGGGCTCCCGGGGCAGACGCGGGCTCACCATGACGTTGAGGATGATGCTGCCGTCCATCATGATGGCCTTGAGCAGCAGGTCGCGGGAGTCGTCCTTCAGCCGGTAGCGCAGCGTGTACAGCTCCTTGTCCGCGCTCCACCCGGCCGGCAGCATCTCCGACTTCCTCTCGCCGGAGCCGGGCTGTGCAGCGGCACCCAGAGAGAGAGACAGGCCAGGTTTTGCCGGACGGGCCGCTGGGAGGGGGGCTGGGGGGCGATGTCCGCGGAGGCTGCATGTTTAACACCCCCCTGCAGCTCCGGGCGGAGGAGAAAAGGCCTGGCCAACAGGGCGCAACCATGCTCTGGCATGCGCATCCCGCCTTTCCCCCGTGAAGCTCATGGCAGCGAACATGATCCCCCCCCCGCACATCACAACAACCCTGTGAGGCAGGTTAGGCTAAGGACAGGGATTGGCCCAGTATCACCCAGCAAAACAAAATTAAGGGCTCAGCTTATCCGAGGACAGGAAAAAGGTCCACGGCTCCCTGCACGCCCCAGGCAGTTAAGCATCGTTTACGTTCCCTCTCAGCCCTACCTCACAGGGCTGTTGTGAGGATAAAATGGAGAGGAGGATTCTGCAAGCTGCTTTGGGCTCCTTGCAGAGGAGAAAACGGGAGATAAATATAAAACTGGGCAGCGGGCCACTCTGCTCTTTCCAGCAGCCAGTCCTGCCCCGTGCAGCCTCCGGCCGGGGGGGGGGGGGGGCCCGTGTGGGGGGCACAGCTCTGCCCCTGCCGTGGCCCTGCCCCCCCGCCTGATGGGGGGGCTTGGCTCCCCAAGCCCGCCCCGCCCCGCCCGGGATGGGTAGCGGGCAGCCCGGGAGGGGGGCAGGCGGGCCCGGCCGAGCGGGGGCCGCTCGGGC